AGGAAAAATGTCGCCGGAGCTCTGTTCGAACTTTGACTCTGATGGCCATCGTTTTCCTCTCCTCCACTGGAATGTTGCCTTGAATTTGCAGCTCAGATATAGAATGAGGCAGCAGGGAGATGGGATTTCTGGGAGGGTGGTTGCCCCTCTCTGTGTTATCCGCCGATGATTTCTTCCCCCCAATTAAAAAATCCCAACAGCCCTTAAAAATCGTTTCTTTTTCTCGAGCTATTTGCTATTAGCTCTAGCGGGTATCGAACCAAAGCGACCTTGTTCATTCTCTGTACTCTGTAGTTGAACCAACTACCAAGCACCTCCTTAATCATTGTCACATTTTGCGACATATGTCCTATACTGTTTCTTCTTCTTCTTCTTCTTCTTCTTCTTCTTCTAATAAGGCTGTGATGATTGTTTGAAGTTCTGAGCAAGCTGGGTCAGACATGTGAGGCCATTGAAGCCGCATCTTGGCGGGGCAAAACCCGGATGGCAGAAGGGAGGGACAGGGGTTTGAAAGGATCCATCTGGGTCTCTTTCCATTTCCCTTGTGTTTCTCAATTGCAACCGGTATTGCAGCCATGGCGGTTTTACCATTATCTGGTCTGACCTAATTATACTTATCTGAGCCTTAGCCTTTCTCTTCCTCTCTGGATGGGATAATATATCGATATCCTTCCTCTGTTTGGGCAATCAATTTGGGATGGAGGTTGGTACTTGTTTCTGAATTCTCGGTTATGTGTACATTTATATGTGTTTCTTCTTTCCTGTAAAGGTTATTGTCTAGCAATCAATTGGATGTTTTTCAAACCTCGAGAGTTATATGATTTCATTTTGGCAAATCCTGGGGAAATAATTCTTTGTATTTTTTGCTTCAATCCTTTCAGTTAATGAAATGGCGAAATGTTAGGCATGATAATCGGGCGACCTAAGCAGATTTTCTTATCTTCTTTGCTTGGTTATAGTTGCAGATAATAAATGGATACCTGAAATTTCAACTACTCAAACTCGATTTCACAAATGTATGAACTAATTATATATTGGAAGACAATACACGATACATATTTGAAAACATCTGAAAGTTGTAACTTTGAAAAATATCAAGATTAAGAGAGTTTTTGGAAATTTTCTTTGATAGAACTATCTCTTTGCTCCAGTAGTTATGCAAATTACTCTCGGATACTTGCTTATAATTGCTGAGAAATTGAGTCTGCTATACCCTCATTTGTGATTCCACCGTTGAGAGTTAGGAAGTTGAATCTATTGTGCCATCACTTGTGAATTCTACTGTTGAGAGTTGGGGTCTATTTCAGGGCGATTATGGTAGATGGTGGTTTTCCTATGATTTTAGCTGACATGAATAGGGAGAAAGAATCTGTCCGATCAAACCCTGGAGAGCACTTCATGCTGCCCTTTTCATGAGCCTAGCCATGAATGCTTATCAGGTATGTTCCAATTGTTTTGCAAATTACAAATACTCAAACCACAGCGCATAGTGATGGATCATAATACGTCCTTTGGGTGCTGGAATCACCACGGAGTAGGTTCCTTTATTTTTTTTCCCCTCTTAATTCTTGATCTTTGATTGTGATTATGTGGCTTTTTGCTCTCATTCAGATCATTAGCGGTAAGTTCTCGGAAGAATTCTGAAGAGCAATTTCAACATTTTACACACATCTTCAACCTGATAAACAGAAAAAAAACCATATCATTTCGCCGAGGTTATCGTATTGAAACTGGAGAAAAGATTTCTTGTCATGAAGATTTTAGATGTTAGTGCACTTGAGCATATAATGCTGAAGAAAGTGAATGGGATGGTTATTAGATGTCTTGAGCTCAAGTCTGGATGGTTATTAGATGGTTATTGTCACTCTATTTGCAACCTTGTTTTTCCCTGTTAACGAGTTGGTAAATCTGGTGCTCTTTGACTTTGGATTGCTGAGTGGAGGGGTGTGGTGAATTCAGCTTCGTAAAAAGACTTGGTCGAGGATCCAATTGTACCCGTGGTAGGTAGCTCCACCATGTATACTTTTGTTTTCTGGTTCAAGGACCAAAAGCTTTTTCTAATCTTTTTCTGAGTTGCCTATGAAACTTTCCTTGCTCTGATCATGATTTTTTGTCTTGTAAGTAACTGACATTTTCTATTGCTACTGCTCTCTGGCTGATAAAATTTTAAATTACATCTTTTGCTGATTTAAATTCGTATGATAAAGGTTATCTCAGTTGGTTTTATCTGTCACTTGCATTTCTTTTTACTGCTATGGTACTGAACTATTTATCTAGCATTAATCAGACCCCTTGTGGTTTGTGGTATATGAATATAACATGGTTTGGACAATTTTTCTTGTAATATTCTAAGAAATGACAATCGATAGTAAACAAAGGCGACAAGAAACTCTTGATGTAATCCTTCTTTTTTTTTTTATTTGGAAAAAGGTGTAATCCTTCTTTTGATTGCCTTAGCTTCACATGTTAAATATATTCAAATTGGTCACTTGTCAAATATCTCCGTTTGCAATAACTGCGTCAGATTTCCCTGGCCCTTATGCCAAACTTAGCTTGGCACCCTTTAGATTATCCTTTTCACACCCATTGTGATTTGTATCTGTTATGATGATCTTGATGGGGATGATAGCCAATAAGGTTGTTGAGGAGGAAGAGTTTTATAGCATTGCCCATGCTTTGGAACTTTGGACCAAAAATGAGTACAAGCCAGGAGAGTCAGTTTGGGGTTATCACACATCAGATACTCTTTTATTCACAGAGTTGGGTATGTGCTGTATTAGGGAATCCGGAGGTGTATGACAGAATTTGTTCATTGTTTTGAAGCAGTTAGAAATTGCAGCAAAGTGCAAATATTGTTCAATATTGTTGCCTCCCACCTGCTGTAGTAGGAACCCAACTGGTACACTTTTGTTGATGAAGCAAGATGAAGGCCCTCCTTAAATTTGTTGCATCATGTTTCCTTTCTGTATACTTCCAATTGATATTCAAGAGATCGGTATCTACTTTACAGGTTGGGTGGTAAAGGAAATTAGCAAATTACTGCTGATTGCCGGAGTCCTATAATGTCAGTTCAACTAAACAGTAAACACAACTCCTGTTTTGGGTTTCTAGTGGAGAGTATTTCAGTCCTCTCCTGGAATTTATAGTGCAGAAATAAGTTTTTGTGAGTTTCTAATTTTACCTGGTGTAGCCCTCGAAATTTAACAGAATGGTTATAAACCACACGCATTATCTTTGCCTGTATTTTTGTTTTTTAATTACTTTCTCCATTCCAATTCAATTCAATACTCTCACTTTTCCTTTTAGAATGTTTCAAAATTTAGCCCATTTTAGACATTATATTAATTTTATCTAATTCTCTAATTCATTCTTACTATTTTCGTTGAAAGTTAGAACATTCAATTGAATACAACTCCAAATCTCACCATATTAACTTGCCATTATTACTAGTCATTAGAGACATATTAGGTGAATTACTAAAAAAACGTAACCATTAAAATTATATTATTCATTTTTTCTTAATTTTTGTATTTGTCTAAATAAGCCTATTGAATAGAGAGAGTATTATTATAAAACATACAAATCGGTCCAGTTGAATCCTATTGTCTTCGGTATTGAAATATTTTAGCTTACTTACCTGGGTCAAATTTTCCCATCATGCTGTCATCTTCTCTCGATCACCACCAAGACAAAAACGAGAAACAAGGGTAAGCAAAAAATGCATGAAGTACGCCTCCATTTCAGCCTAAAAGTAATGTTATAGTAATTGAATGCATTTCAAGATACACGGTTGCCGATTTGTTGTGTGACACATGTTGTGATTCCTTGTCGCTATCTCAAGTAACTAAAAGTGATTGCAATTTTTATTATAAATAAACCTTTTTTCCCCCTTAAAAATCCATTTTGGAGATATACTGCGGAGCATCCATGAAGTCAGCAAAAAAAAAGTGCTGATTACTAATAAACTTGTAGTAGTAGGATATAGGCAATTAGGCATCGAAGGCCGCAAAAACGCCAGGAAGCAATCTCGCACAACTTGAAGTCTCAGCATCACATTTTGACATCATTGCCAAATCAGTTTGTCCATAAGATATGCACCCAAACACACTTTCGAAACATCTTTTTTTATTATGGCATTTCACATATTCCTCATATATATTCAATCCTCATATATCTCTTCAATCTAGTTAATGCCGAAATCGATGTATAGAATATGCATACATCAATGAAACATTGTCAAGTTTGTGGCGATCACGTGACTCTGATCCAAGGTATATTATCGTGAGGCGAATTTAGTGATTGATTCAATGGCTTTCACCATCCTAATCAGGACACTAATTGTGGTTTTCATGATTACGGGAACTCTTGATAAGAGTAACGTTATGATTAAGTCATCATGTAAATTTTGTGACTCTAATCTAATCCTTTAATAACCGCTTTTCATCCAAAAGAAATAAAAGGAGAAAGACGTACAACTTTATGCATAGTCATTAGTATCATCTATGTATCTGCACGTGAGAATCCAGAACTGGTATATGTACAACTGTCATTAAACTTGTAAATCAAGATTGGGACACTTTCTATACTTCGAGATATAGACGTTTGCCATAATTGATTAGTGAAGTAAGAAAATAAACTTTTGTGTGTGTTACATTCGGTGTTATATAGATTTGTGATCAAACGCGTGTTAGTTTTCTAAGTAGTATCAAACCGAATATAACACAAAAATGTCACAGAAAATCTGGAATCAAAAGAAAAAGTATATGCGCATCAAAAAGAACAAAGATTACTGAAACTGATTACCAATCTGAAAAACCCAAATTAACATACTTTTATAAAACAACTTGTGAGTTAATGTAAAAGAACACTGTCTAAAAGATAACTACTATTAAAAAAAAAAATAATGAACCTGTACAAAGTATATCAGTATTAGTATGAAAACAGCATAAAGACTGATCTGCAACTTTCTTCCTATCTAAAAACTTTCCAGGGATGATGAATTAGTAGTATTCCCACAACGAATCCAAGTCAGACATACTAGGATCCACTGAAACGCCTGGGAGATCTTCACGATAGCTTTTGTTGTTTTGATGAATGGATGATATCTCTGGCGCCAAATCATAGCTAATTCCTGTATCTTGCGATGGACTAAGCATCGAGTTATTATTATTAATATTAGAGGAATAAAATGGTTCCATTTTGCAGTATTTCCTGTTGCTTTGGAGAACGCCCTGAATTGCAGCTGAAACATTGCTGGAGTTTGCTTGCTGATAATTATAACCAGGAGGAGGAGAAGTAACTTTGAAGCATGAATTCTGATGGCGTTTTTCACTGCAGTAATTATCATCACGAATATTTGTCGTACTAATCGGGTTCAAGGATGGAGGATGGCAGTAGTAAAGATTGGAGTTTTGGCAAGTAGTACTACTGGAACTGGCTTCCATGGAATTTTTGTTAGCATAATTGTAATAAGCTGGCATGAACAACTTTCCTGAAGAACTTTCCAAGCCAGCAACTTTCAATTCTTCTTCATCATCACGAGGAAAAATGGAGCAAGCTTTATCAGTACTGCAACAAGGGATTTCATTATCCATCAATGGTGGTAGTGAAGGATCATCATCATTGAGAAAATGATCCAAAAAAGAATCAGCCCTCGCAAGATCTCTCAAAGGGCTTCTTCTATTATTTATGCCAGTGTTCTTGTGAAATACTCTGCACACAACCCATTCATCCTGAAAATTAACCATAGCAAAAAGATTATGTTTTTTTCAAAAAAGGGTCAAAACTAATCATGATGAAATCAAAGAAAGAACACAACTTTATCTCAAAAAAAGGGAAAAGCTATAATACCTTTGGTCTATTGGGGAGGTTGTAATAAGAGAATCTGCCTTCAAGTCTATATTCATGCATGATCCAATTGGTTTTTTCACCTTTTGGAGCTCTCCCTTTATAGAACACAAGAGTCTTCTTCATCCCAACTAAACAATTCTTTTGCCTCTTATTATTATCATAAATCTCCTTATCTTTTCCAGTAGCTTTCCAATAACCTGAATCAGTAGCCCTGTTTGTTCTCAACCCTGTTGGATACTTCCTATCTCTCTGACAAAAGAAGTAATTCTCCTTCTCTCCCATCTTAGATTTCTCTTTAATAACAAACCAAAGAAAAAAGTAAGTAAAAAGAAAAAATTAAACATGGGAAAATTCCCAAACAAAACAAAGAGGAATTATTTGAAGCTTACTTGGTAAATCCCAGGGTTCACACTTGTTCATATCAACTTCAGCAATAGCCACAGCTTGGAAGCTGTTATCAATGGCTTTTCTCATTAAGTAATGGGTTATGATCTCTTCATCAGTTGGGTGGAATCTGAAACCTGTAGGCAAATCCATAATACTCTGTCTCTCTGATGGATATATGAGATGATAACAGAACTCTGGAACTTCAATGATGTTCTTTATATAGAAAATGCTGCTAGCTTTTGGGGGGACGATCTGAATAATTTAAGAGACTTAAGCTGCAAGCAATTGTCACGAAAGTCTTCGTGGTTTTTCCTCTCTTTGGTGTGAGCTGCAAGGAAACTATATGATGAGTCCCTTTGTAGAAATGCGTTTGTTTTATTGGCTATTGTGTACACAACTGCATTTTTCTTTTTCTTTTTTTTTTTTTCTTTCTTTGGTCTGCAATTTTTTCAAGTTCGTAAAAGACATCGTGGTTGCGTGTTGCGTCTCTGGGAAGAAGAAGACTTCTTATTACAGAGAGTTTTAAATATTGGATTTAAAGAAAGAAGAAGCTTTTAAGGGTACCTTAATTAATTATTCATTTGTTTACTGTTAATCTTCCAAAACATTAAGCAACAAATTAACTATACTTATTAGACGTTGTTCTGGTACTACTACTGCTACTTAGGAGGCAAAAAGAAGAAAATAGTTTGTCACATCGTTGGCTAACTGACTGACCAACAATTATTCATCCAAACTTGTTCTAGTTGTTACAGTTATTTTTGTGTGTGGAAGGTGTGATTGAATAACTTGGATTGTTTATATGACAAAACTATAAATTTCAAGAAATCAGTGCGGGATTAAGAAAAGAAAAAGAAAAAGAAAAAAAAGTTAGTAAAACCTCTTCTAAATTAATCCTCTATAAATTTATAACCTCCATTAAATAATAAATTTTGCTGGTCCCAACTGGGGACCAGTACAAAAAATAAAAAAATTCGATTAATTTATAAGATAATAAATTTTCAAGAATCCCTTATGTAAATATAGGTTCCCACATTTTTATAAATTAATAATCACCTAAAAAAAAATAATTTCTAGTAAAATATGAATCTATTGATCTTTTTTTTTTTTTTTATATATATATCTATGTAGATATTATCTTTGATCTTTCTCATTGCAAAAAGTTTCGGTGTCACTTTGCCATATTGCAACGGAAAATGATAAAAAGAGTTAATGCTAACTTTAGTGTTTCCTTTCTGGATATTAGTTCCGAAGGGACCGAATCATCTTCAACTTTATCTTCAATTGAGTTTTCAGTGACACTAGGTACAATATCCTCAAAAGATTTTATCTCTGTAAATTCATCATTTTCTCCTGGGTAATTCAACAAGAGATCAACATCCATTTTATCGCGATAACAAAGGAGATTCAAAATTTGCAGTCACACAAAGAGAACTCTAGTACCGTATTAATAAAGTTAGAAGTCCATATTTATAATCGATTTTTCTTTTTTTTTTTTCTTGGCAAAGATTATTTCGATTGAAAAACTCTTTAAAGTAATAATTATTAATTTATATAAAAACTCTTTAAAATAATAATTATTAATTTATCGATAAATTAGTAATTCGATAAATTAATAAAGTTTGAGAGGCCCAAAATGATTAATTTAGAGAAGTTTTACTGTACAATATATTGAAAGTACATATGTACAAATGAATTAACGAACTAAATATTTTAAATTTACGATACAAAATTAGCATATTCTTTTCTAATAATTATGTAAAACCGATGAAGCATGATTATTATCTTCCAATTTCGTCACTATTACACTATTACCGTCTTTCTTTCAAAATCAATTATTATCTCAGAGTCAACCTTTATGACCAAGAAAAATAAAGTTGTCTTACCAAAAAGATTTTACTTATATGAATTCTGAAGTGAAAAATGAAAAACATAATTACAAAAGATGTACTATCATTAGAGTTCGGACTCAAAATAAATAAATAAATAAATAAAAAGAAGAAGAAGAAGAAGAAGAAGAAGAAAAATACACCCCAAAAGAAAAATAACTTTAAGGAGTCAATTTACTAAAAAATAAATATATAGGCCCCATAATGCAATTGTAGGTAACAAATGCGGTTCCTTTTATTTACAGCTGTATCCCTATTCTTTCCACAAAACTCGATCCCCTTTCTTTCTTGAGTTGTGGAATCTGGCGGGTTGCTAAATGGACCCACATTTTGGTAGGGCAACCCGGAATGCACTCCAGTGAGAAATACTCCCAAAACTGGTGTCTTTCTCACTTGCATTTCCATGGGATTTTGCAGCCATGGCGGTGTCCGTTTTCTCTTCGCCCCACTCATGGCAGTGTGATCAGTTCCGGACCTCTGAATAACCTCCAAATGTGAGCTCTCTGAAGAATGAGGCAAACGGAGAGAAAGGGATTTATTTAAGGGTGGTTGCCCCTCTCTGTTTTAGGCCTATGATTTCTGTGGAGTTTCCTTCACGAAAACCAACAGCCCTTGTTTTCGTCATGGAAGCCAATTGAACCTTGGAAATTTTCCGATTAGGGATTTCAGTGTGTTCTTTCTTTCTTCTTGCTTTTTTCTTTGTGACGATGACGATGATGATGACGATGATGAATTAATGATGATGATGATGCTTCTTTTGCTTTTGTTGTTGTTGTTGTTATGATAGTGATGATGTTTTTATTATTGTTAATTTACTGGGAACGGTCGAAGAGGAGAAAAATGAGAGGCTGTGATGATAATTTCTGGAGAGCAACTGAATTAGGCATTGATGGTAGAAATTGACCCGCACCTTGGCATGGCAGCCCAGGTTGCATTTTGGGTTTCTTTCATACCTGCAACTGGTGATTTGCAGCCATGGCGGTGTTACGACCTCAATGTCCAGTCTTTTACGATCTGAGCCATATCTATCATAGCTTTATGATCTTTTTTGTAAAATTTGATTTCTCTGTATACCTTTTGTGACAAAGAATAGTCTTTGGCTCTGTCATCTAAACAGGCTTTTCATGATTTTTATCCATATCCTCTCTGCTTCGTATCATGTGGCTTTCTAAAGATTTTCATGCCTTTAGTTGATTTTCTTGTTCGAGATGATTTTGCAGCTGCTATTTGGTGGAGGATTCCAGCTGCATTCTAGCAATACGGTTTATTTGGAGGTGTATGGACACAGTTATCTGATTTCCCCTCTTGCATTGTCCATTGTTAATGGTTTTCTTTCATCTGTCACTCTGTTTTTGTAGCTTCGTTAAATTTTAGGTTGTTCTCTTGATTTCTTGTTTGAACAGTTTCTCAACAAAACGTGGCGTGTCTTGCTTTTATTTTGTTTAGAGGCTGCCGCTTCTTGTTTTCATGGGTTAATAAGAATTTGTCTGATTTCTAAAGCCAGATCTATCTTCTCATAAAACAAGAAACCATTGGAGAGGCAGCAGAGATATAATAAAACTTTGTTGAGGGCTGAAATCCCCTCTCTATGTGTTTCATTTTTTTCATCTTTGAGTGAGGAGATCATTACTAGACTTGCTTGTCTAATTATCGATGATTTGGTAAACCTCCAAAATGTGAGCTCTCTGAAGAATGAGGCAAACCGGGGAGATGGGATTCCTTTTAGGGTGGTTGCCCCTCTCTGTTTTAGCCCGTGATGTCTATGTAAGTTTCCTACGAAAACCAACAACCCTTGAAACCATTTGGACATGGAAGTTGTTGTACCATGGAATTTTTCTCTTAGGGCTTTCCTCGTGTTATTTCTTCTTCTTGTTCCTTATATGAGGATGCTTCTGTTGTTGATGATGATGATAATGATGATGTTGTTTTACTTACCGGAAATGGTTAAAAGGGAAAAAAAATGAGAGGCTTCTGGTGAGCAAATGAATTAGCTTTGATCGTAGAATTTGACACGCATTTTTGATTTTTTTCATACATGGGAATGATGACTTGCCACCATGGCAGTTTTATGACCTGAATCTCCAGTTGATATCGATCTTAGCCTTATCTCTTATCCATCACATCTATAGATTCTACTCATCTGTGCTAGATGTATGCATCTTTATTATCCTTTTGTGAATTGTGATTTGAATAGTTCATGCTACTATTTCTCCCCTTTTTCTTGTGAGGGTAAAAAGATTTTCTTTGTGGTTTCTATCCTAACTTATTAATGTTTTCCCATTTGTTATCTGCTTTTGTAATATGTTGGTTTAAATATTTTCAGGTGTTAGTAAACTTTTTGTTTGAGATGATTTCGCTGATGCTATTAGTTAGTGGATTGTGGCTGCAGTCTTACAACATACACATCAGTGTGTTTAGGGGTGTTTAGATGCCTAATTAGTATTCTCTCAATATATTTTTTTGTCATCTGTTTATCTCTTTTATGACTTGATGATTCTCTGGTTAGGCTCCTTATTTCTTGTTAGCACAGTCCTCTGCAGTATTAGGCATGTTTGCTTGTCTTTCTTGGGAGGGTAATATCCTAGAAAATGATCTTTCACTCATTCAAAGACTAAGTATACGGAGGGGATACATTCCTTGAATTTCTGATGTTTGTTAATTGGCACAAAGCTGGGGAATCAGCTCAAAGAAGCAAAAATGATGTCATGGTCTAAGTAATTAGCTTACCAAGTTAATAATGCAACCCCTAGTCAGGCTTTTGTTTTAATTCCCTGGTTCTTGACTCCATTTGTAACCAATGTCTCACTTGTAAGTATATTGCAATCAGGGGATTGTTGCATGCATTTTATTATTTAGATACCTAAATCTCTTCTTTTTCCTGTTTATTTACTGCCCATATGAATTCGTTGAACTGTATTCTCTCAAATGTGTTTTGATTTAGTATTCCGTGATTTATGCGACTTCTCGAAATGTTGGAGTGATTTTTGGGTGAAATGGTGTTGAGGTTTTGCTTTTGACTGAAAGTACATCAAATGATCTATCGTCTTATTCTTCACGGGATTGGTTATTACGGAAGCCTTTTCTTACCACGACAGTATAGAAAATAAATATGGGTGGTTTTAGATGAAAACAAATTAATGATGCTGTAACTGAATTTTCTAATCAAATTCTGAAATTATTGAGTCATTGTATCTGGCTTTTTTTCTGTTTTCTAGATGCTGTGTGATTACCTGAAAAGAAGGCTATATATGCTCTTAAAATGGAAAAATAAAATAAAAAATCATATCCTATCTTATCACCCTGATTTGTATTTCATAATTATTTATAATCCAGAATGGTAGAGGATGTGCTGTCCTCTTTGACCTTCATCAAGGCCTTTCTGTTTCATTTTTATTTAAGACCTCAAGTGTATGAGCATGTCATGCGGCAGAAGGTTACCTTGGTTACCTTGATATAGCAAAAGACTTCATGCTGAACTTCTTAGAGAAAAGGTTTGTTCAATTAAATCAGATGAACTCCCAACCTAAATTGTGTTTTGTCAGTTTTTAGTTAGTCCTATATGGGGGAAGCTAGAGGTTGTATCCTTTGCCATGCAAGTTTTTGTGTGTTTTATTTTTTAAAGAAAAAATCTTATGTTTGCATGGCGCAGCGTTCATTGACTGACTTCTGATAACTGGAAAGTGCAAATAAGAATATGAAATGCCAAAAGGACAAGGTATGATCATTAATCAGGTCCCAAAGATCTATGTTGGACCTCCTTTACTTCTTAACTTGTAAAATAGTCTTCCCTAACACTAATCACCATATATCAATGTCCTTAGTGGTGCACAAGTCTGTACTTGTGTGTTTGTCTGCTAATCATGAGTATTATGCAACATAATATTCCCTGATCATGAGATATACACTACATAATACATATGCAGTATGGGAAAGAAGTTTGTAACCTTGTAGCTACTCCCAGCAATTCTCTCCATATTCAATCTTTTCATATCAACATTTGTTTCATCATATTGCCACTGGACACTGGAAAATATATTTAAAAGGCTTTCTTTTTTGGTTTTCCGTTGTTAGTTGATGATTTGCTTTGGAAGATGTATCGATGATGAATAGTTGTGAGGAAAACAAAATAGATGAACAGTTGAAGACATTAAAATAGTTTTCTGAGGATGGTTAAGAAGATGCTTTGAAGTGAGGAAGGGTTTCTGGATGGTTTGAACGAACTTGTGGATTCATCATAGCATTTCATTTATTAGGTTAGTGCAACTTGGCCTGGACAATGGGGCAGCAATTTTTCTTCAAGTGGTTGGAAGAGATGGTATATCTCTGTATGCAATTTTGAGTTGGAGTTTTTCCTCTCGATTTTAGGCTATTCATATTAATCAAGCCAGTAGAGTGATTTAGCGCCCCCTATGTCGAAAGAGTGGAAATCAGATCTTCATTATATGGAGAGTACTTTCTGAGGCCTGTCCAACAGCTGTGGGTCTGTGGAAGAGAGGGCATTTAGTTCCCCCCATATGTCTTCAGTGTGGGGTAGAAAATGAAACGACTGAGCATATGCTATTGAGTGTTTACAAGCACAATTAGTATGGAGAATGTCGCCACTGGGTTTTGATTTCTTCTTTTTAAGGTTTGGTTTAAGCGGTGGATGGAGGAGTCTTCAAAGAAGATATGGAATTGAGTTGCTATATTCTATGGCCAATATGGGTATCAAGAAACAAGAAACTCTCGGGGGAGGGGAACGGAGCCTGGAGAAAACACTAAAGCCATAGGAATTAGGAATTCTGCGGAGGAGATATTTAGGAGGGCTAGTTTAGTGTCAGGCCAGGTTGAGGTGAGGGAATGAAGGGTGAACGTGAAGGTCTGGTCGAAGGGAATGTTTCAGGATAGTGTACAAGCGATGTTAGGAGGTGCTATAATCAACATAGAGGTGGATGGTTCATTCATAAATTCTTCTGGGAGGGCACGCCTGGCAGTGGTGTGCAACGACGCAGAAGGAAAGAGTTGTTCAAAGGACGGGAAAGCTGGTCGAGTGTTTGGGATGGGATGCTGAAAAGGAAGGAGAAGGTACCAAATTGGTATCAAGGCTTGGAGCAGGATATTATGAATATAGCACAAATTATGAACGTATGTAGGATATGTAGGATAAGTAAAAGTTGGTAGGCAAGTGGAAAGGAACACAAAAGACTTGAAAGAAATTGGCTAATCTATCCTAACCTTTACATGCGTTGTCAATTCTACCTTATTCTTTTTTTATTAGTCAATATTACCCTAAGCTATCCAACCATTAGCCGATTTTGTCTAATTTGCTCTTTTCTGTTTAAATTAACGGAATTTTATTTGTTTTAATTATAAAAATACCCTAATAATTTTAAAAATTATAAAAATGACCTCAAAAATTTATAAAAATAACAAAACAATCTCTTTTTAGTTTTTGTTTAATTTTTTTTTGTTTTTTATATCTTTTTAATAGTTTCATAACTATAAAAATATACTATATGATCTTAAAAAAAAAAACTATTTATTTTTAAACTCTAATGTACAAATTTATAATTTGATATTTGTAAGTCATGTTTAATTTACATAAACATATTATTTTTTTAATACGGTTTAACGGTAATGATATTATTTTTTTAATCCATTTTTTCAATCTAAAGAATAAGATTATTTAACTAAAACTAATTTTGCACAAAAAATAACACATTTAGCATAGATTAAAAAAGAAGTTATTTGTATACTTTAATGTATTACAATTTAATTCAACAGACTTTAGATTGTATCATAAAATTTAAAAAATAATTAAAACTAAAATATAAATTTTTCTGTAAAAGGCCAAGTACGAAAAGAAAGTTAAAAAAAAACACCTATTTCATTTCTACATTGGCCCAACACAAGAATATAGTGTCATGGCATTTACAAAAATGGTACAAAATATTTTATAAAAAAACATTTATACTTATCATTGCGAGGGTTTAACATTTTGCGATAATTTTTTGAGATATTAATATATCTAACTTTAGCAGAAAGTCTTTTTTGTTAAAGAAAAAATAATATAAAGAAAATCTATTCCAGTACTGGACTCTATTTTTTTTTTAAAAAAAGAAAAATTAGATTGCCCAGTGAGAATCGAGACATCGAACACAGTAATTTTATCTCACATCCTAAATTACCTGACCATCTAACCCTCTCGCCTTTAGTGGACCCCGTTTAAATATAGATAAAATCACTCTCCCGGTTAGAAATCCTTTGGTGAGACTTAATCTTATATCTACTCTCATAGAAAATTTGGCCGATTATTTTTTAATCTATGCTAAATTTTTTAATATTTTGTAAAAAAGTTAGTTTTAGTAAAAAAAAAAAATCTTATTCTTTAAATTGAAAAAAATGGATTAGAAAACTAATATCATTATTTTCTAGCATAGTATTAAAAAATTTAATATGTTTATGTAAATCAACCATGAATTACAAATATGTATATCTATAAATTTGTGCAGTATTGTTTAAAAATAAATTATTCTAAAAGATCATATAATATATTTTTATAGTTGTGAAAAATAGTAAAAAGAAATAAAAAATAAAAAAATTAAATAAAAAGTGAAAAGAGACTATTTTGTTATTTTTATAAGTTTTTAGGGTCATTTTCATAATTTTTAAAGCTATTAGGATATTTTTGTAATTAAAACTAACAGAAAATTCGTTAATTTAAACGGAAATTGGCAAATTGGACAAAGTCGGCTAACGGTTGAATAACTTAGGGTAATATTGGCTATTTGAAAAAGAATAAGGTAGAATTGACAACGCATATAAAGGTTAGAGTAGATCGGCTAATTTTTCCTGATTTATCCCATCCTTCAGAACAAAAATGGAGGGGGAATTGGGGGGTGTCTTTTATGTAAGCCTTTACATTTCATTTTCATGTTTTGGTCCAAAATTGTTATATTACGTAAGATGAAATAGTCAATTTTGATTTATCATCTTCATGTAAGATGTAAAGGACCAAATTCATTCCTTTTACAAAACTAAAGCTGAGGCAGAGGAAGTATTGGTCTAACAAACGTGATCGAACGGGGGTAGTCCAATGGTATTAAATTTAAAATAGTTTTGTTATTTTGAAAGCAAAATCTTATTAATTATATTACTTATATTTATCCTCCTGCGAGATTAAAGAATTTAAAAATATTTATTATATTCCCTTATTTATCTCCAATCCTATCTTTCTTGTTCTTCTTCCTTAATATTCTCTTTTTGTTCCTGAGGATGAGAGATGCGAGGGATACTTTATGCTTCTCGCGTCTTTTTTGTTGGGATTAACTTATAGTACTAATTAAAAGTATCATTTTCCCTTGTCATAACCAAAATACTTATGTAATTTTTTATTTGGAGTTCTCATATGCTTTGAAATTTTGTATTCGAAACGATTTCCAAAGAAGAAACACTACTTCACATATAAGGACACAAAGGCTTTGTTTGTTTTGTTTTTTGGATGGTTTTTTCGTAATTAATAAAATAATAACTGTCTTATTTCAGTATACTTTTTTATATTTCCAGTGCACTTTTTTACATTTTTAATAGAAAAAACACTTAAAAACACAAAAAAAAAAAAAGAAAAAGAAACAAACTGTTGATTGACGATGGGTTTTGGAAGAAGTAAAAAACGACGGGCGATAAACTCATGAATAAAAGTGGACTTTTGATGCTTTCGCACTTCACTGCTACAATATGGATATGGAAGCTTTATCGTATAGTTTAGTTGTCTTTCCTATGTTAAGTACATAAACGTAATTGCATTTTTAATTATGTATTCAAGGCACCAGAATTTAAGAATGTTGCATAAAGAGTACGGAGAAATACTACTAATTGTAATGATTTTACTATTATATTATTATTGTGAAACAATTAAATACTACTAATTTCTTAAAATCAATAAAATATTACTAATTCTTATGATTTTACTATGAAACATTAGAATTACTCTAAATTTATCACATGCCTGATTCGAAAGGAGGGAGGCTATAATATCCCGGGTGCTACAAACGTAACCAAATTATGATGAATATCTAAAAGGGTTAATATCAAAAAGACCCTCAAGATTTTACTTGATTTTCTAAAATATCTTTACAATTTAGAAAAATTATAAAGAATATCTCTCAACTAACAAATAAATTATCAAAAAGGTCATTCGGCGACTAAAAGAAGTACCAAAAAGATATTTATACACCCAATGACTCTGCGATTTCTTTTTTAAGACTCTAGTAAGTTCTACCAAAAAGTTGATTCTGACCTTCTAAGACTTCACTGATTTGAAGGGAGGAATGACTACATTTAGAGTTTGTGAAAAGTAAATATTATATTTACAAGTGGATATTTGATTTTATTATTATAGTTTTAAAAAATCATGGAGGGTTTCTTATACGAATACAAATATCTTCTTTGTACTTTTTCGTTGACTTCATATGCATACATCAACTTTTAGTCACTGAGAACCGTTCTAATAATTACTTGCGGGTTTTAAGATATGCGTTTGATATTTCTTTAAATAGGTGTTTTACATAATCAAAGGGTGCTTTGGAGTAGAGAGATCTATATATATATATATATTTTTTTGTAAAACAAAATGTGGAGATCGGATTCTCAAAATCCGATCTACTAATTAAATTAGTAGTTCGGATTTTACGAATCCGATTTAATAAAATAATAATTTTTTTCCCGGAAAATACATGTGAGAAAAATGTATTGAAAGTCAAATAATGAACAAAAAAAAGGTCGGATTTTAGGAATCCGACCTTATTTATTTTTATTAAAAAATATAGGCGGGAGATTTGAAAATTAAGAACAGTACAAGGTCGGATTTACAAAATCCGACCTTATTTAAGCATACCTAACAGTAGATATCGGCATTGAATGGACGTTATTAGCTGGCAGAAGGTCGGATTCGTGAAATCCGGCCTTAGTGTTAAATCGGATTTCCTAAATCCGATTTTACTTAGAAAATCGGATTTTAGAAATTCGACCTTTTTGTGTTATAATGGGGCGACGGAAAGCACTGTTCATGTATCGGAATTTTTGGTAAAGGAGGCTATTTCTTGAAGGAGGAGGTGATTTTAGTGGCGATTTGAAAATTTTGTTCACGATTCTTCGCAACGGATGTCTTAAAACCATTTCACAAGAAGGTTAGTTAATGTTTTGATGTATTTAGAATTATTGTTGTTATTTTCTTTGTAAAAGTGTAGAACTAGAATGATTTATAAGGTTTTAGGGTTGATGTTGGGTATAGTTGATGATTGTTGTTGTATATATGGTATTGAACGTTCAATTTAGTAAAATGCTTGAATTTGGCCTAAACTTTTGAATTTGTAGGGGGTTTAGTAAATTTAGTGTTGATTATGCCTTGTTTATGGTAATTGTTATAATAAGTTGTTTGATAATGCCTTGTTTGTGTCATTTTTTTTAATAATTTGTTCATGATGTGTTGTAATTCATGTAATCAACAGATATAAATGGCGTTTAACGGTCCATATTTCATTAATGTCTATTGTTCGAGCAAATTTGTAGTGAAGAATGGATTGTGAATACTTTTAACAACATGCGGGACGATTCCTTTGTGATTGATCATAAGTTATTGTACAATGATTTGGTTGGACTGATTTGTGAAAGAGTGGGGTAGAATAGAAAGAATGTGAATTTGAGTCTATCGATTTTGTATGATACGATGCGCAATGGTTTTAGGCGTATCGCCAAAATCAAGGACGACGCATCGTTGCAAGTGTTGTATTTCCTCCCAAGTTCGACATATATTGATTTGTATGTAGATTTGGAGGTGGCGGGTACTTCTAGGTCCCATTTGGAAGTAGGGACAAGTAGTGGTAGGCCGAATGTGGAGAATGTCGATTACATGGAAGATGATGATGTGGGTGGACTGTTTATGGAGGATGGCGATCACATGGAATATAATCACGGTGAAGATGATGAGGACTACACATCGATAAGTGATCAAAGAGATGAAAACCAATCAATATCCGAAGGAAGTCGGGAGAGTGATGAAGAGGTCGAAGACAAATTCGCCACAAAGGACAAGCACATATATCGTTCACAGGGTACATGGGATCATACAAAAGTGGACAAGGATGATTTTCAACTTACCATGTGGGACGGGACAACCGCAACAATTGGGATAGGGACTTGTTTCAAGAATAAGGAAGAAGCAAAAAATGGTATTGCAGCATGGAACATAGAGCAAAAGAGAGAGTTTTATGTGAAGGAAAGTGACGGTTCAACATGGTATATTTGGTGCAAATTCCTAAAA